AAGACTAATACTCAAACATTTCTGGATTGAAACACTAGCCATTCAGTGTCACTTGGCATGGCATATTTTTATGTAGCCATAGTGTATGCTGTTTTGATCATTTCTGGCTGCATGGCAGTGGCACCCACCCAACTTGCCCTCCTTACTTATGAGAATGTCTGTAGGACCGCACATGCCCACAACCAACCTGCCAACCTCAATATCCACAGTGCTCTTCCTCTCTTGCTTATTCTTCCTCATGTCCATGCTACTACTGTCCAGAACATCCCCAACAGAAACCCACTCTTAGCTCTGCCCAGCTTGAAAACATCAGGGTCCATGCCAAGGAGTTATGTCTGGAGGCTCTCACTCTCAAAGTCTCTAGTCTACCAGGTGCCAGACTGAACTTCCTCACCAACATCATGCTGTATTTTGTCACCCAAATCCCAGAGGAAGCCTGAATCTCATCAAGTCTCTAAACTGAATAGCATCTGTTGGCTTATGTGTCCACCAGCAAGCCACAGTACCAGGACCCAGACCACCAGAACTTACTGAGGCATGCAATAAGATGCTGGAACTTTCCCAGAAGAAGACATTTCTTGATCTTTACATATTTATTTAACAAATATTTATTTAATAACAACTGTATTGACCTGTGGTACCCCAAGGAATGCAAAAGTTAGACCAATATATTTTCTTCTTTTCCTCCATCGCAACACATCTAATGGCTGTCCCCAAACACTCCTACGTGTAATATTGCTTCACAATGGATGAAGTGAGTGTCAACTGAAGAAATGTTCCCCCAAGAGAAAGAGAAAGGTGTATACTAATTTTAGATGCCTCCCAGGCAATTCTAATAAGAGAGGATGTCACAGTCTCCTCCCACCCTCATGATATTGAAAATCACATTTCCCCAAAAGATCATTTTCAGTGAGAGGTATTAAGCCCTCTATTCATAAATGGAAAATAATATAAAACCAATGAAAATTGAGGCAGGGGAAACCAATCACAATTCCTCCTTGCTATTGACCTCTTTATGAAAAACGTTTAAGGAAACTCAACCTCTTTCAGAGAAAGCAGAGGGTCCCAGAAGCGTATGTGAGCACCTAAGCTCCGCCCTCTGCAATACAGGCAGCACACCTGGTCCCTGCGGAGAGGAATGGTGGCAAGGGCAAAAGAGGTACACATGGTGCCACAAATTGCCTCTCCTGCCTAGACAACATCATTTTAAATGACTCTCAGGGTTTCCAGGATGTTGACTGTAGTCCTTATTTCCCTGTATTCGGAGATGATCCAGTAAAGGTTCCAGCAGTTGGTGTGGTTCACCTGGAATAGAATTTTACCTTCTCATCCCACTACAGAAAGCTCATCCAGAACAATCAGAGGCGAGCGTCAAGACGTGCCACCATTATCAAATGAAAATACAGTCTCCTTCTCTGACCTCTTCTGGTATCTGACCTCATACCCCATGACAACATAAAACAAATCTTGTCTAGGCCAGGACCCTACCACTCAATGCTACCACTGTGGGTCTTCCAATTTTGAGGGGAATCATATAATTTCAATTTCCTTTAAACTCTTAAATACATTTCAGGTTGCCTTTGCTACTTGATGATAGCGTGCTAATGGGAAGTTATGTGTAGAGAAGAATGGGGTGGAAACGATTCTATCAGTCCAACAGCCCAAATCTAAGCATGTCCAGGGAAGGAGAGCAGACTTTAGAATTAGGCAGATTTGTATTCACCCCTGACTAGGTCACTCTCTAGATGATGATCTTCAACAGTTTGTTTAGCTTCTCTGTGATTCTGTTACCAACGTCCACCTTACAAAGTTGTAGAGGCTAAATAGAAATAATGTATGTAAAGTAATCTGACACAGTGAGGAGAAGAGGGCATAGTAGTAACAAAGAATCAACAGTAGTAGCTGATAACAGTAGGGATAGCTATCATTACTATTAACCTTACAGAAGCAATAATGTCTAGGCAGAGATGAGATTTAAATGCAAAGAAAGGCCAAGTATATTCTTAAATTTTCCAGGCTACATCCTGGAATACGAGGGAAATTATTCACCTAAGATTTTAGAACCTGTGTTGCATAGTGGAGATTTGAACTCACAACCGTCTAAGTCCAGAGCAAGTATAGGAAGTGCCAAGTAATGAAGAGGTACAAGCAAAGGCATAGTGTAGAAAGACAGCATAGGAAAGTGATTACACTTAGTCCTGAAGCTAGGCAGGCCTGAGTTCAAATCCTAACTCTGGCATTTACTAGTTGTATAACCTTGGAGAAACTATTTAATGTCTCTGAACCTAAAATTATTAATAGCTTATTGACTGTTATGGACTAAATGTATGTGTCTCCCTCAAATTTATATGTTGAAGCCCAAACCCACAGTGTGACTGTATTTGAAGTAAGGAAGTAATTAAGGTTAAAAGGGCATAAGGTGGGGCCCTGATCCCATAATATTAGTGTCCTTATAAGAAGAAACACCAGAGAGCTAGCTCTCTCCTCCCACCATCTAAGAACATAGCAATGGTAGCTGCCTGCAAGCCAAGAGATGAGGGCTTGGAATGAAATCTACCTGGCCAGCACCTTGATCTTGGACTCACCAGCCTCCATAGTTGTGAGAAGTAAGTTTCTGTTGTTTAAGCCATGAAGTCTGTGGTATTTTGTTATGGCAGCCTGAGCAAACTAACACACTGACACATAACTCAAAAATCTTTTGAGATAATTAAACATAAAGTGCTTTTCACCATACTTGGCACATAGAAAGCGCCCAATAAATGGCATGTATTATCATGATCATTTCATAAGAAATAAAGTTACCCAATCTGGTGCCCACTGAAATGAGGGTAACACTGAGCGTAAAGAGCCAATGCGGAGGGACAAGCACTACTGTGAGCAAGGGAACTGAAGAAAACCTAGAAGAGGCAGGGGGTGGTTCAACGCAATTACCCACTGGAGTGGGACATCAGCGGGTCCAGGCTGGAAAGCCCAGGCCATTTAACCTAGGTCAGCTGACCACATTGTGGCCGGAGGGAGAGTCCTAACTGTGGTCCAGGAAAGAAGCCAGAGGTCAAAGCTGGAGGCCTTTGTAGGAACTGAAGTGGGAAAGCAGTTCAAGGAGACAGATGGCAGGAAGATGAGGAATGCGCCTGAGGCAGATTTGAGAGCTAAACTATTCCACCCAGAGGCCACAGCGTGTGAGAGCGCCATTTCCACATGTGCCCGCTGTGAGGGAGGGAAAGGGCTGACAGCTTTAAGGCAGTGAGCGGGACAGGGAAGGCTCAGCTCAGCAGTAACGCTGATGGGAGCGGTGGTGTCCACATGTTAGAGGCACACAATTCCCAGCCCACCTCACCAGGAAGGAGCTGTGGAGGTCAGACAGCAAGGCCACTGGAGATCCACACCAGGTGCTTGGAGGGGAAAACTGGACATTCAAGGACAGAGAGCGTGAGGCACTCCCAGGTCCAGCCAGGGATGCAGGTGAAGGGAAAGGAGGGATTTGAGAGAAGCTGAACTATCAGTTTTAGACCTACTTCCTACTAATTGCTCCCTCCAGGCTTCTGTGACTGGGCAGAGGAGGATTCTTTACTTAGCCACTGAATAAATCTACATTGAAGAACTACTCCTCGATAGACACTGATCTAAGCACTGAGGATATCAAAATAAAAAAAGAAAAACGACATGAAATAGCTTTTGTAAAAAGAGTAAATGCAGACCATAAATAAGCAAACAGAAAGATACAATCATTTCGGGTGGGGTAAAGGGCTATAAAGGTAATTAAGCAGGGTGATGTGAGAGAAAGTGATGGAATGGGTGGTAGGAAAGCTTCTTTTGACAAGGTAGTCAGGAAAGATTGCGAGCGGATAGTTGAATTGAAACCTAAATGTCAAGAAAGACACAGCTTTGTGCTGACCTGGAATAGGCACATGGCAATAGCTCCTTTGCCCCTAATTCCCCAAAGTCAAGGTCAGAAGACTTGTCAAAAGACAAATCTGACAAATATACCCTTTTTAGATTTTCTCCCAGATGGATCTGGAGACTATTTTTCTATTTGTCCCTTTATTCATTCAACGGGTATTGAGTGGCTAGCTTGTGCCAGGTACTATGCTAAGCACAGGGAATGAATATAGTATAGACACCGATACTTAACCATGGCCCAAGGATGAGTCAGTGAATGAATCCAAATTTTAGACCAAGTAATTCATACTTAAGGTTGATTCCATTTAGATCAAAATTAAACTAGGGAGAATTACGTGCATGTGTGTGCATGCACTACGTGTGAGTATGTTTATCCAGATAAACATATACCTAGCAGCGTATGAGCTCACAGACAAAAAAAAAAAAGCAAAGTCTCCACATATATTTGGCCAAAGCACGCATAAAATAAATCTTCTCATTGCACAGTGGAAGTGACTTCCACACACTCAGCCAGAACAAGGCTTGCTACACTCTGAAAAGCAAAGACTGGGTCTGAGATAGTCATCCTGCTGCAAGGTTCATACTGAGCTAAAAATACAGAAGAGAAAAACAATGATCTCAGCAAGGTAATTGCCAATAGGTGAACAAACGAAGCAGATAGAATAGGAACAGCAATTTGGCCGTCCTCTGGGGGAGGAATGCACAGTCGTGGCCAATGCCAGTGCGACACCAGCAAAAGTTACAGTCCAGCAAAACAGATTAAAACTGGTTGTCCAACTATTCCTGACATTTCACACTCCTGGCAGCCCCAAGGCATTTTTGGGGGGAGGGGAGGGACCAACGGGAGGGGAGAAAGGTGACAAGCTGACAGGCAAGAGAATAAGGGTCCCCCCCCCCAACCAAACATTCAGCTATCCCAATTAATCCCACTCAGTGAACATTTTTGTATGTGTGTGGGTTTTAGGCACCAATGACAAGGCAATGTCCAGGGAGGCAAAAAACTGTTTTCGCTTGGGCTTGGCCAGGATCTCTGGGCAGCCTGCTTGTTTTATTTTAAGAAGGCAGCTGTATTTTAGCTGGGGAGCATGTTTTGAGCAGAGATTTTAAAGTGCCATCTCCCAGAATGGTTTAGCCCAGATTGGAAGCAGGAGGGAGCGGGATGAAATGGAAGACCGCAAGGTGTCTCCCCCTCAGAGCCCTGACTCTCTGAACATAATTTGGCGACGACTCCCTGCGGCGTCTTTCGCTCCTCGTCTGCACAATGAGGGTGCTAATACCTGAAACCTCCGCGTCTTGCAGGAATCCTGAACGGATCAAGTTACCCTGAAAACCACACAGGTACAGGGCTGCAGGCTTGCAAAAGATTCCTCCCTTAGAAAGCCCTTGGCTCAAGCCAGGAAAGAACACTACCACATTTTTCTTGGCTTTTTATAGGGTGTTGATCCAAGGATCTGTTTTTACATTTGAATGCAGCAGTCAACTGGAGCATAATAGATTGCAGACCTCTGTGAGAAATCGCTGTGAAGGCTTCAGCGGGGAACTGTGGGCTGCTGCAGAGAACTGCACTGTCAGCAGGTTAGGAACTGGGCACTTGTCCATGTTTTCCTTATTTTTAAAGGAGTCGTTGACCTTCCACAGGCCTGTATCAAAATGGGGCGAACAAAAATGCTGCCAGACACGGCAGGCTTGGAAGAGACTGCTTTCAGGGGCTGGAAAGAGCTTCATTTGGTCTATTTACTGTCATGGAAATTCTGAGTGTGACTTAGAGGCCACCCTGGCTATGAGCCAGGTGGAAAGGTTTGGAAAAAAAGCAGACTCAACCGGGGAGTAAGCAGGGTGGGAAAGCAGCTGCCCTGGCACAGCCCCCAGAGGGCTGCAAAGAGCCCCAGTGCTATTGTGCAAAAGGCAGATTCAGACGTCTTCTGCAAGTTTGAAGAAGGGGACAGCCAATGTCACTACTCCAGGTGGCCAGGCTTTATGAGCATGCTGGGAGCTTATTAAACGTCGTTCTTGATGTGGGAGGTCCAAGCCAACATGTCATTCATTCATTCATTCATTCATTCATTCATTCATTCATTCATTCTACACATAGTCCTTAAGGGCCTTATATTAAGTTGGAGACATTGTGCTGGGCATTGAGAATACAGAGGTGACAAACACAATCTCTTCCTACCATTTTGTGAGAAGACAGTCTAGGAAAAGCTAACTGGGAACAATGGGAAGCTGGACCCGAGCTGTCATGGGAGGGTTAGGAGGAGGCGTGCCTCAGAGCTTTCCCTGCACGTGCCTTTCCAGGGGACCGCAATTAATTTCAACAGCCGCCACCTGAACCGCTGTTCACTGACCCTGCGCTCAGGCGAGCTCGCCCGTCCGCATTCTAGGCCCACGGAATCCAAGCGAGGTGGTGCTCTCCCGGGTCCAGAAACTCACTCTCCCTCCAGGGCAGAGGAGGTAGAGCTGCACTGGGTCCCCTCTCCCAGTGGGATTTGCATTTTAAGGAGGATTACCACATCAGCTCAAGGCCAGGCTCCCCACACCACTGCTCTTAGGCCTGAGCAGAAAGGGTCGGATGTGTCTGGGAGCCGAAGAGAAACTTCCTAGAAACACAGATGTCACTCCGGGTAGGCAGGCTGCCCACCCTGGGCTTTAGGCTGTTCTGGAACTGAAAGGGGGTTGGAAACCATCTGGCATAGCAGAAAACAGAAAGCTCGTGGCTAGCAGCCACCAGAGCCTCTTTCCTGCTCTCCTCGTTCCTGGGCTGCCACTTCCTAAGCTCCCCGCAAGCATGGACTTGTTTTTTGCTAAACTCTCTGGGTTTAGGTGAATAAGTGTGTCTGTTTACAGCCTGAACAGATATAGCACGTGGGGGAAGAGTGTGAGATAAAGAGGCCGGCGAAAAGATGCAAAGCGAACAAGTGAGAGAGTCAGCCCTGGCAGGCCTCCAGAGTAGCTATTTTTTTGTGGTCGATAAACACAGTGCTGTGCTTGAAGATGAATACCTTCAGAGTTGGGGGAGGGGAGGGGCTTGGCTCCTTGGAAAGGCTTATTAACACCAGGCAAAGAGGATAGTAATTAATCATGGGGTGAACTTGAGCCACTGGGGATGCACCATATAAAATGGTGTCTTTATTTCAGGGAACTCTGAAACCTAGATGTTCTTCTGAACGTGATTCTCATCACCACCGCCCTCTGTAACTCAAATGAAACTTCTGGAGTGAGGCCTACTGACTGTATGGTCATGTTTTCAACTTTACAGTTTTATTCGGATATTTCTAAATCTTGTCAACTCTGATGTACCCACTCTGGTGGAGACAAATTGAAATAATTCAAAACATCAGGCAACTTAAGTTATAAGTTTTTATGTACACCAGTATAAATTTATATTTTTTTCTTCCGGGTACTATACCATCCTTATTGGGATGGAGTTAATAGAAACAATTCTCATGAAATCTATCAGTTTGAGATATATGCTAATTCAGACATTGTCTGGGATAAAGGTTAGCTTTATGCTATCTGTGAAGAAAAGGTTTGCTAAGCAAATGAGAATAGCCAAAATCCCATTCCAATTTTGTTTCGCCTACTTGAAGAAACACATATTTAAAGAACTGTAGAAGTACTCATTTGATGTAAATATTTTTGTGCTACTTACAATTTATCCTTATCTTTTCTTAAAAGCTGACCCCCCCAAAAAAACTCTAGTTAATAACTTTCGTAAGCCTCAATTTCATTACCCCTGCACCTTATTTGAAAGTCAAAAAAGAAATGCTTTTTTTTGCATATGTTTTTCCCAAACTCAATTTGAATTAATGATGTGGGTATATGTTAAAGGTTTTTTTTAAAATAATATGGTACTGCTACATGGATGAGTGGATAGATGGATAAATTGAATCTTAGAATAAAATCTGCCGGATTTATGTCCCTACTTCTCTCAGCTATAGGTGGTGTCTGGATCTCAGAAGACTCCGTGGGACCTAGAAAGGGTATTCTTTCCTCTCAAGAATTCTTCACCACCCAAGACACACTTACCCCCATGACCGAATACCGGCACTCACCAACTCCAAGCCAGCTTTGGGGTCCTCTGAGCAGCCCCTACCACTTGTGCTTACCTTGGCTTTTTGGCCATTTACCCACCTGGATTTGGCTTTGCTTGGGGTTCACCCCCAGCATTTGGCAACCAGGACTTGGAATGAACAAATTGGCGGGCAGACTGATTCAGGATTTAAACTCAGCTTTGAGTCATAACCAAACCTCTTGGTTTTGACAGCCTGATCTGCTCTAACCTCACTGCCCTCAGCCAAGCCCTTCTCTCCCAGACCACCCCTCCCAAGCCTAGAATTCGAGGAAGGGCAAGACCAGCCAGTCTCCTCACAAACTTTCTCAGGAATGCCTGATCTCTGGTGTAGGTAAACTCCCATAGCTGCTAACTCTCTGGTCTCAAGTCTACATAGCTTTGGATTCAGCACAGCTTTACTTCGAAAGATGTAATTAATGCTATTTAAAGAGATGTGGTCCTCTGCCACTTGGTTGTGCAAACTTCCATGGCAGAGTAAAATGATTGATGACTTCTGTACTAGAATCTTCCTATGTGCCTTATCTTTTATTTTCCCTTTGTAATAGCAGCATTTCTTTCTTTCTTTCTTTCTTTCTTTCTTTCTTTTTTTAAAGATTTTATTGGGGAATTGGGGAAGGGGAACAGACAAGTTGTTGTCCTTCAGTCTTAGTTGTGGAGGGCACAGCTAGCTCAGCTCCAAGTCCAGTCGCCATACAGCCGCCGGTCGGCAGCTCATGGCCACTCAGCTCAAGGTGCTGTGTTCAATCTTAGTTGAGGGTGGGCATAACCCACCATCCATGTGGGAGTCAAACCGGCAACCTTGTTGTTAGGAGCACGTGCTCTCACCAGCTGACCCATCCTGCCACCTGTTGGCATCTCAACTTGGGCACAGCTCACTGGCCCATGTGGGAATCAAACCAGCAACCCTGTTACTCAGACGTTGTGTTCTTAACCAACTGAGCCACTCAGCCGGCCCCCAGCATTTCTTTTATTTAGCCAGGAGAAAGCCTCTTTATTTTTTTCCTCAACTTTTCAATAGACCCAAATATTCTCCATTAATTTAATTCTGCCATGATTCTAATATCTCCCCAAACTTTCCAAAGGTTTCTCTTAAAAGTAGTTTTTACATTTTATTTACAAAATACAGAACAATATAAAAAACAAACACCCAAATGCTACCTTTTTAAAATATAAAATATGAAGTACAACATAAATCATATTCTTGTGTATAAAATATGAAGTAAAGCCTCTGCCCTTACCACAGCCCCAGGCAACCTGCCAGAGCTAAGGCCTGATAAACATTTACTGCCTTTCCTTCCAGACTTTTTCTAAGGTTTCCACAAACATGCATAAACATTTTCAAGCCAAATATCTAGTTTCCCTTGATTCCTCTTTGCTCCTTACAACATATGAGCTACCAGGAAATTCTGGTGACTCTTCCTCCAACACCATCCTAAATTCATTCCATTCACTTTGCCCACCTGCACCACCCTGCTCAACCCAAGCCACCATCCTTTCTCACTGGCTGACTGTGAAGGAATCTAAGCAGTCTCTTCACTGTCACCCCTTCTCTCTAAACATGTAAGCATTCTTGATTACAAACAAACAAAACACACTAACTCCAGTTAAGCAGAAAGAGGATTATTGAAAATCTCTTGCGAAGTTCACAGAATTGATGAGAACTAGCCTAGAAAAAGAAGCAGGAACCCAGAGGGGCTGAGGAGCCACTACAGTAAAATCACGGTGCAGGATGAACTTGATCAGGATGTGAGGCTGCCCCTGTTGTACCTGAATGTGTCTCCAGCAGGGGCCCCCTGGTGGCACTAGGTTCTAGGCTCCACTGGCCCCTGGCCTGGCCCCTCTTCTTTGTCCCAGGTCTTTGTCTCATTAGAATTCGATTTATAGTCCCTGTTGGAGCACCCAGGCCCGTTCCTCAGCCATCAAAGCTGGATGAAGGAGTGACTGGCCTGTGTGGCTTCTGCAGGGGGATGGTGTGGAAAGTCTCCCACCTCCACCCACATGGTGGGGGAATTACCAAACACAGATGAGGGCTCAGAGCCTTGTCAGCTGAAAACAATAATGATAGCAGTACAAACACCTACATTCCGTTTTCCATACAGCAGCCTGAGAAAGATTTTAAAACTTCAATTAGATCAGGGTTACACCTCTGTTTTAAACCTTCCAGTGGTTTTCCATTACCCTTATAATACAGTCCCAACCATATGCCCCAGAGTACCAGGTACCCTGTGAAAGATCCCCAGAGCTGGAAACCCATCACCGGAGAGTCAAATGGGGTCCACACAGAAGTCAGGCTCACTCACTTGCTGTCCCTGAAGGCAAGCACGTGCCTCGTCATGTGCACGGAGGTTCAGATAAGTGCACTTGGGCCCTGCTGCTGCTCAACGGCTTCATTAAAAGCACTTTAGAACTCCAAGTTAATTAGCTAATTTAAATTCTGTTCAGTTTATCATGTGTGTACAATATACCCCACACCGGTCCGGGAACTAATGACCACCTTCAACAAAATCGCTAACGTTTGCATAGCAGTTCACAGTTTACACTATGCTGTCATATACTGTAAACCATCTGATTCTCAAAATGCCCCTGTAAATAGGTAGGATAGACATTGCCTCATTTTAACAAGTGAGAAAACTCAGTCTCAGAGGTCAAATGCACTTCTCAAGCACACGAGGTGCAAGGGAGAGGGGAGCCTAGATTAAAACCTACCTCTTCTTAACTCTTAATGTCCCTCGTAACGATGAAATTCACCAGGCATTCGAAGTCATCAAGGTTTTATTGGTGGGTTGGGAGGAGGTAAATAGACAAAGGTCATGGGACCCCAATTCAGAGGCAGGTAGGGGTCAAATGAAGAGAGTTGGGTTTTTCATGGACTTGGGAATATCCAGCTCCTAGGGACATGCCCAGGGAGGCACTAGGGCTGAGAGCAAACCACACACCGAGCCACCCCCTACTAACAGCCCACCACACGTGCCACCCTTTCATTCATGGTGGATGGAGTGAGCTAAAGAAGAAATTAAACATCAAAGAGGCTGAAGAAAAGATGTAGGGCAGGAAGCACTGGTAATCGTTTAAGGGCTGATGTCTTTTGAAACTGGCTAGATGGGCCCTCACATGAGCATCTCCCAGTCTCTGCTTAGAGGCTGTCACCACGAGTGGGAGTGGGAATTAGGAGCAGTCAGGAGGAGCAAGGCAGAGCTGGGGTTGTCCATCATCTTCTCTACCAGGACTCCAAGTAGAAGCTGTACTGCATCCCATCTTACTGCTTTGAAAACTTTTTTTTTTTTTTTACAAATCGAAAACATGTCAAGCCACAGCTCCCACGCCCCTCAGTCTAGCAGGGAGCAAGTCTCCTGAGGCAACTTCTGTTAGTGTGGGTTTACCCCAAGGTGACAGCCCACAGACCCTTGCTCTTGGGGTATGACATTTAGTGCCCCTATCTCCTCCCCTCCACTTTTCCACAGTGTCTGCCAGGCTTGGCCTCAGACAAAAATCTGAAGTGGTTCTTGACCAAATGCAAATCACCAAGTACAATGCCTCTTTGTAGTCTGTTCACACCTTTCATCCCAGAATTTCAAAGCACAGTGCAAATGTTAACTTGTCCTCAGACACCCCAGGAGAGACATGTAGGTGGCATATTCTATTATCATCTCCTGTTTTATAGAAGTAAACCAGGCTTGGAGCCATGAACTGTCTTGCTGGAGGCCTCGTGGTGAATAATTGTATGTCCTGGGGACCTCCATCTAGTCATTAACTATGTAATGTTACTGCCGAAATATCACAAATATCAGCCCTCTAATGGATGACCATTTTCTTCCCTCACTTTATTCTTTCTTCCTTTGGAGTCTGAGGATTCCTATAGCTTTCTAAACAGGTCCCACAAATTGACACAACCACCAACAACCTTCAGTTGCTCTTAAAAGAAGACAGAAGATAAATTATATCGTCCCCTTTGCTACTCGCTTGGCATAAAAGATCAAGGGCAACGGTTTTGTCTAGGTCAGTGTGTGATTTAAAGTAAACAGCTAATCACAGTGCCCACCATTCCCACTGACCCCTCCTAAGGGACTTACTGCCTCTGGCTGAGAAGGACAGCCTCTGGGTATAACTTAAGTGGGATGGCCATCTTTTGTACCACATGACTGCACCCCCTTCCAAGACACACCTGATTAAACCAGGGACCCAAGTATAAGTATTCCAGAGGCTTGTGTGTGTCTTAAAAGGGAGAATGGTAACAAAGTTCTATGCAAACAGGGAACTGCAGGTGGAGTGGGATGGTGAGCTTCCCTTAGGTGGTCCAACAAAGAGAAGCGGGGGCTTCGGAAGAGTCCAGAGCTTCTACTATTGTAAGAGTTTAAACAAATCCTTGGAACTGCTGTGGATTCTGAATGACCTTGAAGTTGTGGAGTCTGTGAGTCGTCGTGGCCATACATACCATGGTCATGATTTTCCTTTACACATTCCTACCTCTTTTACTGCTTTTCTTTATAATATGCCCCCACTGTTATCCTGAGATCAGAAATACCCAACTGAGGATCTCATTTATGTTCTGTGACTTTTATGCTTGAGTCAATAGAAAGTTGAGCAAAGCCACTTTCTCTTTATGCTGCAAAGCTTTCATTAACGAAATACAGATCATTGTTTCTTAGGCCATGCCTACAGGGTTGATTGAACTTCATAAATACCTAGCTGATTTGAGGTGAGGTTTTCAAAACATTATAACATCTAATCGCTAAGCAATCACTGAATGTCCACCTGATTTGATTATTAATATTAAGAAATCTTAAATAATGACTAACCTTTTTAAGCCCTTTCACATAATCCTCTTAAGAACTGGATAATGTTGGCTTTGCCATGCAAAAGTCCCGACCAATCCCTAAGTGGCACACCAATAAATATATTCATCGTGATGGCCCCATAATCCCAGGCCTCTTGAAGTACTGGCATATGAATTGTGAAATAGATTACGGAAGACAACATCAATAAGCTGCCTGAATGGTACAAATAAATCTCATCTAAGAGAGAGGGAAATCCAAATAGACACTGTGTGCTTAGGAGAAAAAAATACAACACACATAAAACATTTTTGAGAAATGAGATCATTGACATTTTGATCAATCAACCTTAGCTATTAAATACCACCATCTCTGCCAAGTTAATTACCTGCAAATGAAGAGCCAACCCTGCCAAGGGCAGTGCTGCCAGCATCCAGCTCTGCAATCACGCTGTGGGAGGGGAAAACCCAGAAACCAAGGGAGAGCAGGGCAAAGCCCAAAGAAATGAAAACTGTAGGTGTGCAGAGTAGCACTTCCGTAAAGGTTGCTTCGACCTGAGCAGGTCCAGCACCCCTGCTGCCTGAGGGAAAGCTGCAGGCAGAGGTTGGGGCCCAGCTGTCAAGGAGCTTGTCACCCTGCTCTTTCCACAGGCAGCCTAGGTCAGCTCATTTCTCAGGGGATTGGTGGCAAAGTGGCAATTCCTCCAAAACATCCTTTGGCCACCCTCATTCTGGTCCCATGCCTGTTTCCGGGGTAACTGCCCAGGGACCACCCAGCTCTGCTAAGACTCTGGAGTTTCCACTCACGGAGAAACGGAGCGAGGACCGTTCCATGCAGATGGGGCAAGAGGAATGACTACTGGCTTTCTGTGGGGCTTAGTAGCCAAGGTATTTTATTTAGGCAAGACTTTGGGGTAGCAAGCCCAGGTGAGCCTTTTCTTCCAAAGTACAGCAGATCCTTGAATAATGTCGTTTTGTTCAATGTCATTTCGTTGTAATATTGACAAGATGTCATAGGAATTTAACTCTTCTTTATATCAATTAGCCTGTGGTAAAATTGGTTTCATCATGTGTTGTTTCGCCTGAAGTCTCAGAACATAGTGATGATGTTAAGTGAGGACTTACTTTACATGAAGGAGAATGAACATTCTTATATCCCATTCTGAGACACAAAAACAGTCCAAGTATTTTCCTTAGAGGCAGAGCAGGTCCAAGTTTTGAGGAGCCTGGATTTGTATCATTTGAGGGAGAGTCCCTCTTTAAAAAAAAAAAATAAAAGTACAAAATCAAGTGTACAAGATCTTAAACGAAAAGCCTTGAAATTTAACTTTCATTAGCTTCATGAAGAATCTGCCTCTACTTAGAAGTACATTTATTTTCTGTCACTTTGTCTCCCTCTCTCTCTCTCTCACTTTATTTTTCCCTGTCTGTCTCCACCATTGCAGGTTCATTTGCCCAGGCAGGGGCTGAAACAGAGCCGGTCAAATGACTATTCACCAAGGTCTTCTGGAATGTTCTTAGCACCTCTTCCTCTGAAGTTCTCCAGTAACACAATGAAGTCTTATAGGCACTGAGGCAGAGGGATGGACTTATTGAAATTCACCTTTAATTCTTTTACTCCTGCCAGGCTGACTTGAGGACTCTAGGTTCTGAATTCAGTTCAGATGTCAATTCACAGGCTCACTGTTATGTTATGGGTTGAACTGTGTCCTTCCAAAATTCATACGTTGAAGTTCTAGCCTCCAGTACCTCAGAAAGTGACCTTATTTAAAAACAGAGTCTTTAAAACGAGGTCATTGGGGTGGGCCCTAATGCGATAGGACTGGTGTCCTCATAAAAGGGAAACATGGAGGCAGATATACACATAGAGAGAATGACATGTGAACATGAAAGCAGAGGTTGAGGTGATGCTTCTACAAGCCAAGGGATGTCAAAGATGGCACGTGAGGCACGTGAAGCTAGTTAAGAGACAGGAAACAGCCCTCAGAAGGAACCAGCCCTGCCTACACCTTGATCTTGGATGTCTAGCTTACAGAACTATGAGACAACACATTTCTGTGGCTTAAGTCACTCAGTTTGTGGTACTTTGTTAGAGCTGCTCTCTCAATGTAAAATAGTCAACTTTCGGTACATCTCCCCTCTGTATTGTTTCCCATAAAAGGAAATCCAGGGCCGGCCGAGTGGCACAATGGTTACGAACTGGCTTGGGATGCAAGAGGGCCCGGTTCGGATCCCACATATGAGGGCCAGTGTCACTGCCCTCCACAGCTAAGATGCTGAACAACAGCTCAACCTGGAGCTGGGATGCCATGAGTCACCGGTGACAGCGTACGCTGCAGCCCCTGTGGCAGTGGGTTGCCATGGGCTACCGTGTGTAGCCAGCAGCCAGCGTGAGCGGCCAGCAGCTGCCGTGAGCGGCCGTCCAGAAGCCAGCAACTGATCTGCCTCGCCCGGGAAGAGCGCAATGATGGTGTCAACTTGGGCCACTGGGCAACGTCCTCCACAACTAGACTGAAGAACAAAACAACAGCAACTTGTCTGTTCCCCTTCCCCAATTCCCCAGCACTGTTCCCATCCCCCAATTCCCCCATAAAAAATTTTTAAAAAAAAAAAAAGGAAATCCAAAATAATGCTCTCGTCATCTAAGTGCAAGGGAGCAACCAGAACAGGCATATGAAAGGGCTTTCTCCGTACTATTTGTAAAGAATAAGCAGAGAGGTTCTCTAAGCACTTCTGCCCAAAGGGCCTTTCTTATTGACATGATTGTGTTAATGATTTCGTTCAAGTCATCACATGAAAGAAAGTTTTGAGAGAAAATTTCAATAAATTTTTCTGGAATGTACTCAGCTATTTTTGCAGTCTCGGGCCTTCATTCCAGGAGAGGACAGCTTTCGTTCATGAAATTTCCTCCAGCATTTATCAAGCACTTATTATTGTGCAGATGCTGGGCCGGGAGCTGGGTGACAGTTTCATAGGACAGAGACAGGCTTTCAAGGAACTATAGTCTGGTAAGAAAACAAAATTATCAAGAGCCATGATACAGCTTGAAAATTGCTACCATGTGATTTTTATAAGGTGCTAAGGAAGCTCAGAGTAGGGAGAATCCCTGCAGGACAGTATTAGAGGAGGTAACATTTGAGTTGGGCTTTGAAGGATAAATAAGAGTTTTCCAGGCAGAAAAGGAGGGAAGCAGAAGGAAAAGCACGGACTGTCGGAGGTACGTTGAATAAATTAGTGTGACTGCAGTGCAGTGGTAGATTAGAGAGAAGAATATTAAAGAAAGGGCAGAAGATGAGCTTGTGAGTGAGTAGAAAAGGGGCAGGAGTTGGAAACAGAAATTCTAATGTCAGAATCTCTCATCTTGGTCTTTCTTGTGCTCCGATATTAATGCGTATCTCTAGAAGCCTGACTGGAGTATCAGTCAAAATGCAGAAAAGGTCTTTGACAAGGTTATGCTTTTTTTCTTAGTTTGGACTAAGGTATAATGAAAAGACACTTGAGCATGGAGCTGGGAGGGAGCTGGGAAAGGAGTAGAAGGAGGAGGGGCCATGGTTCTGTGTTGTTCTCTTTGCATCTAGCTCCTGCTAAGTGCTGAGTGTTTGATTTTCACTTTGTAACTTGTTCTGACAGTTTCCCTTCCTCTCTGCTTCAGGTTCTCAGATAACCAGAGACCTCAGCACTGGCTCCAAGGCACGTCGGGGTCTTGCCTTCTTGGCCACTTAACCTGGTCAAATTAATCCAGTTACTTACTCAGTAAACACTTGTGCTGGGCACCAGATGCATAACCAAAGCATCTAGGAGCAAATACCACCCTTTCCTCCCAAAGTCAATTTTAAGAGTTGTGGCCCAGTAAGCAAAGGCCACACAAGTGGGAGCCATGGGCCGTGGTTTTGAGGCCTGATGTGCAACTTTTAAGCTGTGTGACCTCAAGCACGTCAGTTAGTGTCTCTGATCTTTGATATCCTCAGATTTGAAATTCGGTTTGTGATTTTATTTTCTTCCCCTCTGTTAAGAGGATAGAATGAAATAATGAATGTGGAAATACTTTCTCATTCTGAGAAACCCTAGACAACGCTTGTTTGTTACTGTGATCAGACCAGTTAGGTGAGTAGAAGCTAAGTGTATTCATCAAAACTCTCTCTGTGGCAAGTAACAGGAAGCCAAGCCAAGCTGGCCAAAGCAACAAAGGAGTTTATTGACTCGTTTATCTGGGAAGATCCTGGAGAAGCTCAGAGTCAAAGCAGAGCCCTGGGATTCAGGACTTCAAGGAGCCCAAAACCCGGCACTCCTTTTGACTGGCTTAGTGTCTGTTTGTTTCTGCTTCTCCTTCCACAGTGGCCTCCTTCTCTCTGCCTGAGAACTGCTTGCTCTTTGTAGAGGGCACCATGGACTCTCGCAACTCAGGCCTGGAGACAGTAGGTGAAGGGGGGAGGAGATCACTATGTAATCACAGGAAGGTGGGAAAGCACACGGGCAGACAGCAAAACCACCTCTGACCACTGGCTTCCTCAGTGTAACAGCCACTCACTCAGACAACATTGTTTGAGGACCCATTCTCTGCCAGACTCTGTTCTAGGCTCTGGGAAGAGAAGTCTGCTCCACTCCCTGTAGTGTGCCCCAACACTTCAGTGTATTCACTCATGTGCCAGGGACATGGGCACTACATCATAAAAGTGCTCGTGGTTTCATAGCAGCGAATGAGACAGATGTAAACAAGGTCTTTTCTTTCATGGAAGAGAACAGAAAAACAAATAAAAAGAACAAACCAGAAACAACCCCATGTCTATCAACTAATGAAAAGGTAAATAAAATGTGGTATATCCATACAATAAAACAGTCTTTGGCAACAAAAAGGAATGAAGTACTCATGTTACTACATGGATGAACCTCAAAAACTTTAGGTGAAAGAAACCAGTCACAAAGACGACACATTGTCTGATTCTATGTATTTGAAAGATCCAGAACAGGCACATCTATAGAGACAGAAAGTAGATTTATGGTTTCCAGAGGCTAGGGTGTGAATTAGTCAGGGGAAGAATGATGCACTACCCCACTGCTAATGGCGCAAGGTTACTTTTGGGCATGCTAAAATTAGACCATTATGATTGTTGCACAACTCTGTAAATATACTAAAATCCATTAAATTGTGAGCTTTAAACAGATGCATTTTATGGAATGTAAAGTCTATCTTAATAAAGCTGTTTTAAGAAAAACAAACAGAAGTGCTATGTAGAAAATGTAAATAGAGTGGTGGAATGGGGAGTGACTTAATGGTTACTCTAGAATAGATGGAGAAGTCACAAAGACCTCTCAGAAGAGATGACGTAAAAGCTAAGGCCTGAGTGACAGAAAGGAGCTAGTTCTGTGGAAGCTGAAGGAATATCATTCCAGGCAGAGAATACCGCTAGCCCAAGGTCCCAAAGCAAAAACGAGCTTAGAACCTGGATGGATGGATGGATGGATAGAGGGATGGATGGATGGATGGATGGATGAGGCAGGTAGGGGCCAGATTACCTGTGAGAAGGGTGGATTTTACTCCAAGACGAGAAGAAGGATTTAAGTGGAATAGCTTAATTTTTTTGAATGATTATTCTGGCTGCTATGGGGAAAATGGATTGTAAGGGGCTAGTACAAAATTTTCTTTGATTGGTAAGGGCAAATTATTGAAAAAGAAGAAAAAATAAATAGGGTTGATTCTCTGCCTTAAAGGAGTTAACAGTGTAGTGGAAAACATGATACAGATAGACACCCATAAATCTCAGAAGAAGCTGAAAGTATTCAGAAAGAGGTATAGAAAGGGTTATAGGGTCTCAGAGGCAAATACAGTGGTATCTAGTTGAGAAAGAAGCTTGTCAGTAAGAAAGATATTTAATTAGAGCGTGACAGATGAGTAGGAAAAGAAAGGGGGGAAGGGGGTGCGGGTGGTTTCCTGGCAGCCAAATAGCATCTTCAGGACATGGTGTTCATGTGGTGAGAAAGTACAAGGAGTATTAAGAGAAATTGTGCCATCCAGTTAATCTACAGAGTGGATGACGAAATGAGAAGTCATGGGAACACCTGAAACTAATAGAATATTGTATGTCAACTATAATTTAAAAAACCAAATTAAAAAATTTTTAAAGTGATGGGAGATAATACAACTCATAACAGTTAACATGTATTAAGAGCTTACTATTAAGGTAGCAACTACCTCATTATGCCCAATAGCAGTCAAGGCCCCCAAAAGAATGACACACTCAACTTAGGACAATTCAAGGGGTGTTTATTTTAAAAGGACTATGTATAATGTTGTGGGCAGAGAGTAGGGGAAGCACACAGGAGAATTCAGGAACCCATGGCTAGCAGCAATAGAGCACTCCACAACATAAGCCCTGAAGGATGAGGAAAGGGAGGGGTTGCCAGAACCTGGAAGGATAGAAAGTCATATAGAGGCCACCTCAAGCTAAGTGATGACCTTTGGCCAAGGGATATAGCCACCCTAAAGGAACCATAAAGGGACAAAACTAGAGAATAAATAATCTTGACTTTATTCTCCTCCCATCCTCTGATCTCCTGCTAGAGCTCCCAACTGGATGAACACAACCAGACACTAAAGTACAGAAGAGTCCTGATGATGTGGTCCACATAGGTTGACCTCCAAGGTTGGAAAGTCTAAGATAAGAATGGGAAGGTAGGTAGTTAGGTTCCTTGCCTTAGAAGGTCTAGAATTTGGGGATGAGAAGTATGGTATTAATTGAGTGGGTAAAGAGCAAGCATTGACAATCTTTGATGGATTTCCTGTTTTCCAGAAACAGGAAAACCAGTAAGGAGGTTCTTAATTGTCTGATAATGAGAGAATGACCTAGAGGTGATGGGAGAAACGGAAAGAAAGGATAATCTTAAAAGCATATTTTTGAAGAATAATATTGACGATCACCTCTGTTGCACATGTTAGGTATTGGGATTATGATAGGGAGTTGAGATGCGATGAAAAAAGTGCAAAGGATGATATGAAGGTTTTCAGCCTGGATACTGGGAGAAGAGAGTTCTTATAAGGAAAATCTTAATGCAATGAAGGTCTGGGTCTGGGGGTGTTATAGTCAAGGCTTTTCATTTGAAGACCACTTATGCTAAGTAGAGAAAAGGAGCATTTATTATAAAAATATAGAATTATATCTCAAAACTTAAGGGTAGAAGGTATAGCTGAACCTCACAGGGAATGAAAAACAAGAATCAGGTTCCATGTTGCTGCTTAG